AAAAAAAAAAAAAAAAAAAAAAAAAAAAAAACCTACCCTGCGCGGAGCACGGATCTTATTCCTTGCGCGTAAAGACATAATTGTAAAATCCAGCAAATATCATCCAACTCGACAGATGATTGATAGCTCTGATGCGCGGGGCAATCCTCGCCGCACAGAACAGTGACGTATCCGGATGCTCAAACAATGCAGCCAGAACAGCTAGATCATCGGTTTATATTCCGAGTATCCGCGAATTCGACAATCGAGGGCTTCGCAACACTCATCGAATCATCGCCTCCTTCACGGTCGAGGGGATGGCAAGAGGAAGAGGGAGAAGTAACACAGACGGCGAGACCGCGGAGGCCCGAGCTGGAACAACGAATTTCCGGCGCAAACTCCGGCTTTCCTCCGTCATTTGGACGGAGTACTTCTCTCGGATTCTTCAGTTCATCAACTCTCATCTTCATCTCCTTAAATATACCTACCAATTCCTCATCTATTCACTAATCACATACAACTATACACCATGCGCCCATTCACCTCCCTCCCCCGCGGTCTCCGCTCTCTTCAGTCCTCTCTCCCCCGCGCTACCATCACCCGCGCCTCTCAAACATCCTCCCGGCCATTCACTCAGCTCCTCCATCGCCAAACACCAACACTCTACTCTCCACGAGTCACTACACACCTCACATCCACCAGGCTCAACTCCTCCTCAGCAAAGCCTCTAACCGACCGCTCTGTCGACGCATCCACCGACGCTCAAAATGAAGAACAGAACCGTCTCCGCCGCGAACAGGAGCCCGCATACCAAATTACATTCACCTGCAAGCCATGCGGAGAACGTTCCTCGCACCGCATGTCCAAGCACGGATACCACCGCGGCACGGTGCTGATCAAGTGCCCGTCCTGCGATGCTCGCCATGTCATTGCCGATCATCTGAATATCTTCTTCGACAAGAAGAGCACCCTTGAGGATATCTTGGCCCGGCAGGGCGATAAGTTGACTCGTGGCTATGTGGATGGCGATATGGAGTTCTGGGATGATGGGAGCGTCAATAAGAAGGAGGGTGGAGGTGAAGGGGAGGAGGGCAAGTCGGCTTAGACTACTACACTGTTGACTCGGCTATGCATTGTATTTGGGGTTTCGAAAAGTTGACGAGCGTTTGGCGTCCTGGTTGGGGTTGATATCAATCATCATTGGAATTGGAGTATGTACACTCTGCTCTTGGGATATACATTGTACTTTTATAGATGGAGGTGGAAGGTGAAGTGAAGACAAAAGAATCATATGTACGATAGATAGACAGCTCATCTCAAACATGATCGATCTCCTATTCTCCCAACGCCGTGCGATTTTGGTATAAACAATTCCTGTATATGCAACATGCAACGCTATTTCACTACCAACCGCGTCTCTTGCTGCGATGCTCCGCTCCCTTCTCCTTTCTCTTCTCGCGCTTGCGGTCGTTCCGCCGTCTCTTGTCCTTCTCGTAGCGCTCCGGTTCGGTGACGGCTTCGATCCGTCGCTTCACACGTCTGTCTTCACGTCTCTCCTTGATGGAATCGTGCACTTGCGCCATGATCTGCACGTACTCGGTCGTTCCAAGCTTCTTCTGCAGGATGTCCAGGACCTCGTGGCAGTTGGAGACCAGGCCCTTATAGGTCTCCCGGAAGACCTCATCAGACGAGCGAGGTGCTGGGATACTGGTGTCCGTCATGTGCTGCAGAGGGAGGAGGATGACGGGCAGGGAGTCACGGATCTGTTCAACTTCGAGATGGCGGCAGAGCGAGGCAAAAAGTCCGATGGAAGCGGTCTTCGGAATCAAAGATTCAGCCCGCGTGGTAAGCAGCTCTCTGCGCAGGATAAAAGATGTCTGCTCGAAGATGTAGTGAA